GTTTAAAAAAAAAAAAAAGAAAGAAATGACTATCTATGTCTTTGAACATGCCCCCACAGACAGACACTCAACAACAACCTGGAAACCAATGGAAGAACCAAGCCATGACAGGGGAGGAAGCCAAGCCAGATGGCCCCAACAAAGATCGGGACAGAAATTTCTAGTTTTAGCATGACTTGTGGGAAATTGATACTGATATTCTGCAATACACACAACTGTCCATAAAGGAGCTGGCAGGCCGTTCCAAACGAGCCTGCAGGAGCACCAGCTCTCCATGAAACATGCTGTTTCCAGGAAAAGTAGAGGGGCTTTCACCAATACTGCCCCCTGTCGTTCCTTTCGTAGGACATTGGGTACCAGCAGTAGTAAGTCTAAATTGATTGTTGGTGGTTTTACCACCCTGCCAGGTGCAGTTCTCATCCTATTTTACAAACGAAGGCACAGTGCTGAAAGTGCTGCCTGGAGCACTCAGGAGTGAGATCAGCACCCACTCAGTTTTGCCTGCTCTCCTCCACCCTGGGTTCCTTCCATACCTCAAACAGCTATCAGAATACCAGAAGTCTCCATGGAGGCTATAAGCCCTGTCCTGCAGGAGGGGACCCCACCTCGGTGCCCCTTCGCACCCCTTACATCATTACATATCATTACAACCAATTTTAGACCACAGTACTGCACTGGCACATGATCCTCGTTTACATATAGGCAGCAGGAAAACAAGCCCCCAGAGGTCTGGGGACTAGACTCCGCCCCCTAAGTGAGTTAACCAAAAGACCAAGGGCTTGAGTTTTAGCTCTAGTCCCCTCAACACTTCTGACTCTCAGAAAGGACAGCCTGCCACAGGCCTACCTTGCATGTCCACGATGGAAGTTACACACACCACCACTACTACCACCACCACCACCACCACCACCCAAACTTGAGAAGTCATGGCCTTCTCTTCCTGCTACTGGGAGGTAGAAAAAAAAAATCCACATTTATAATGTTGCTTTTAAAAGTTTGAAAAAAGCCTCTTAGTTTAAGAACAGGAACTGCAAAAATACAAATGAAAACAGATGCCATCAAGTTGGAGTAGAACTGTGCTCCATAGTTTTCAATGGTTCTCCAGAAAAGATCGCAAGGTCTTTCTTCTGAAATGCCTCCTTCTGAACTCGAAATACCAACCTTTCAGTTAGCAACGGAGTGCAGTCATCAATTGCTTTCCACAGAAACCAAAGCTAGAGAAAAAGGTCTTTGGGGGTGGCCAGAGCACAGAACATGCCCCCCCTCCCACTAATAGGAGGAGCTGGGCCTTCCAGCTTATCTCAAGATTATAATTTAGTATTACCTTTAGAATTTAGAAGGAGCCCTAGAGGCATAGTAGTTATGAGTTAGACTGCTAACCCCAAGGTCAGCAGCTCGAAACCCCCAGCCCGTTCTGCAGGAGAAAAATGAGGTTTTCTACTCCTATATAGTTTGGGAAACCCACAGAGGCAGTTCTGTCCTGTAGGGTCACTATGAATCGGAACCAACTGTATGGCAGTGAGATGGTTTGGAGTTTTAGAATTTACAAACATGTGGAACACCACACAATCTCTGAAACCCTAATAATTCCAATGGTTTAGTCCTAAGAGGGATTTAACACAAGTCAGGACCCTTAAAGGATATGTCCCACTCCACAGGAAGATGAGAAAGTGTCAGATGTGCTGGCCCGAAACAGCGGAAACACAGGCCTTTTGAGAAGGAGCTCTCCAGTGGCACTCCTTGGAGTGATGAAGCCAGAAGGAAGCCCGGGGTGAAGCCTGGCCTGTCTGGTGTGGAAGTTCTAAGGGCAGGACTCCCACACAGCCCACCACCCTCAAGTGGAGGGAAGGCTGAGGAAGCTCCTGGCTGCTCTGTCAGAGATGGTCTGCAGGTCTCAATTCTTCTTTCAGAGAAGAGAAAAGGAAGGTTTTTAAAGCAAAGAAATGGGTAGATTGAGTCCTAACACCTTTGAAGTATGACAGCAGTTCTCAACCTGTGTGTGGGTCATGACCCCTTTGGGAGTCAAACGACCCTTTCACAGGGTTTGCCTAAGACCATCAGAAAACACATATTTCTGATGGTCTTAGGAACCGAGATACCGCTCCTCTCTCCATCTCCAGGTAGGTCCACCCACATGCAGATATGCCCACAAACAAGTACCCAGCATGAAGACTTACCCATACTACATCATGCTTCATGACAAAATGTCATTGATTTGTGATTAGAAATAAATATTTCACAATATATAATTATTGTTTTGTGATTCATCACTATACTTTAATTATGTTCACTGTGTAACCATGAAAATGCATCCTGCCTATCACATATTTATATGATGATTCATAACAGCAGCAAAATTAGTTATGATAATGTTATGGTTGGGGAGGGGGGCGTCACCACAACTTGAGGAACTGTATTAAAGGGTCACAGCATTAGGAAGGTTGAGAACAACTGAGGTCTGCCTTAACAACCTCAAAAAGGCAAATGCACATGAAAGTCATTTTAAGTAACTGGTACTGATGGAAGAAAGGCCACGGGAGAGCATCTAGACATAATAGGTGAAGGGAGTAGCAGTCCTGCCTGATTTGCCTGAAGGTGGGGTGAAAGCAGCTGCAATCACCACACACACCTACCCTCAACACACACTGAAGGTATCCTGGACAGACTCTCCAACCTATTCCCAGCTAACCATCCCTACCTCCCCACTCTCAGAACTAAAAAGCTAGGAGGTGTGATCCAAGAATAAGTTCATTTCTAATGGTATTCAGGTTTTCCTTTAAAACTAAAAGCAACAAATTTCACTGGTACTTGTTTACCACAGGACTCCAGTCAGCAGGAGGCACAGCAGGTGATTGGGCTGGAGTCCATCCCCCAAAGTCAAGTCCCTTTATTCTCATGCCCAGCTACCTCTATGAGATATACATGTTCATGAGCCTGTTACCCACCTCCTCATGGCTCTTCATGCTTTTCTTCACGGCTGTGACCTCAACCTCCAAGTCCACTCACCTCTGTGAAGTGCGCATGTCCACAGGCCCGTCGACTGCCTGTCCTTCATCTGCTCTTCCCGTCTCGCCTGCTCTGGGTAGCACTGGGCCGGGGCCCAGCTCAGCCCGCACTGCAGTGTCAGTCCCTGCCATCGAGTCTGAAGCCACCAGCCCTCTGTCCATCTTCACTCTCTTGCCATCAGCATCATCCTCGGCCGGGTCTCGCTCAGGCGCCCGCTTCTGGCCTCGGGTCCGGCATGCCTCTTCCGTCATTCTGAACTGTAGGGAGAAGGCATAGCACATTGGTCTCATGGAGAGAATCCTACCCAAGGGGAATACCCCAGAGTACGGGTGAGTGTGTTTCCCCAATAGGACAAGGAAGGAACGAAGGAATACAGAAGAGTCCTCTCAAAGGGCTGTTTTGGGAGGCTAGGGTGAAGATAAGGTGCTAGCCTCCATATGGAGGGGCAGGAGCAGCAGGATACAAATACCCTAAGGCTGGAGATCCATGGCCAATGTAGAAACAGTGTGGATTCTCTGCCTTTCATACTCAGGAACGAAAAAATCACTCCAACAACCTAGGCTTCTACACATGCCTGTGGGGCTGCAGGTACTATACATGGTTCTGGGGCTGAGGCGGTCACACTGCCAAGAACCAGAGTTCACTCCTGGGCGCAGACCTCACATGTGGGGGACACCCCAGTGACACTCTCTTGTCCCCTTCAGGAAACAGCAGTGTACTCAGTTCTGATCACCTGGCAGCACATTTAACCCTCTGACTGCTAGTGGTATAAAGTCTGGGTAGGGCTGAGCCTGGCATGGCACCACACCCCTGGCCCTATACCTGCAGTATACACATATCTTGATTTAAAGGAGAAAGAAAAGGCGCTGAGTCAGCTTTTGATCCCATGACATCACTGGGCTCCACATGACCCTTCCCAGGATTCCATCTGAGACACAAAGCACTTTCCAGAAAACCAGTCTGAACCGGTTCCAGACAACAAGCTGAAGTGCTATTAACCCTCACAGTGACAGGACAGAGATGAGACCAAGAGCAATGTCTTAGATGCTCGGGCAGTCCAAAACAAGCTCTTAAAGGGGCCACTGCAGAGGGGCACCGGGGGAACAGGGAAACAAAGTGAGGGTCCAAAGGACCACAGGAGAGATCACAATGGGTGAGGGAAAAAAGTGAATTTGAAGGCCACAGAAGTCCTTCGTGGGAAGTGAGTTGGCCACAGACCAAGAGCAGACAACTCAGCAGACAGATCTGGGCTACCATTGCAAAGACGCACTGATACTTGTCTGGGAGCAGGGGCTACAGGAGGCCCCATTCCACCTGAGGTGCAGAGAGGTCACTGCCCTGAGAGTCTGTCCCAGGGCCTCGAAGCCTCCTGAGTCACAAATAGACAGCATGGGCCCTGTCGATGTACACATTCATGAACTCATGCTCCTAAGGTGAGGAAGGGCAGCCCAGGCTGAGGACGTTGGGCCTGCAGGGGCACAATCGAGCATATGCCTGAAGCTGGGCAGCCTGGACTGTTGGACCTGGCCTTCATGGTCGAGTCCCTCAAGAGACATAGGCCTGGACCACCCTCAGCCTCTGGTGAGCCCCAAACATGGAGAGCTTGCCCACTTCCCGACTGATGGTTCCAAGATCCCCCTAGCTCTTAGGCCTGTCATTCCTGTCCCTTCTCCAAAATCCTTCACAACAAACCACAACTAACTTGATTTTGGATTCTGCTGCCCATCTGCCCAGGGAAACTTGCAGGGCTAGGGTCAGAGCTGGTAGAGTGCCAGCACACTGGCACTAGACACGGTAGTCATCTCAATGCCTCAAATGCTGGCCATAGCCTGCCCACTGGCTCACAGACAGGGTTCTCCCAAAGAAGGTGGGCTTAATTCAAGAAAACACTTCATACTCATTTTGTTGGCCTCAAGTAATGCAGTCCCAGCCAGCAGAAGAGAAGGGAAGAGTGGGAGCCTCCCCTTAACCCCCTACTCTGCCAGGGACTTTCTGACCCACACTTTTAGCTTCCTTTAATGAAGTTCTATGAAAGACCCACCTCACCCACCTCCAAATCACACCCCCCTCAATGGTTCTCCCACACACCTAGGCTCATGGTGATAGGTACCATCCACTTTGCTGCACTGCCTCCATCAAACTACAAGCTTTGCTGTAGCCCTTGCCTGTGCCCCCCACCCCCATCCTGGCTCTCCAGTTGAGGGAACTGAGAGATTGTGACACCACAGCACAGTCAGTATCAGGGAGCTTATGATGAGCAAAGAGACTTGGTGCTTCTGCCAGCCCCAGGTCACGGATCAATAGCCGCCTCTAGCCCCCTGTTACTTGGGGCTTGCTGCACCCCCATGAAGAGCAGGCCCGGCTGGATGGGATGAGACTGAGTGGAGGAGCAGCCCTACTCTGTTCAGTGCTTGCCTGGCCCTCCAACTGGGCCCCTAGGGCCTTCTGTAGCAATGCGCTGTTGGGATCCATTGTTGCTGAGTGCTAGATGAGGCCTGTATTTTTGCTTCAGTCCCCATGGTGACAGGACATGTGCTCCTGGAAAGAGCAGTGCTGACAGAGGGAGGTTCCACCCTCCTCCTGGTAGGACGACACATCCCAAGGGGCTGGAGGCCATGGAGACGGCAGGCATGAGCAGGGACCAAGAAGCAAGCAGAGGACAAGGGCCCAGGATATAGAGCAAGGACAAGAGTATAGAGCAGGGGCCGAGGGTTGGGAAGGAAGGACACAATTAGGCTATTTGGGAAAACCAGCCTCAGGGATTTATGAGTGAAAAATAAACTTCTATAGGAAAGGATGAGCCTGTGGGTTCTGAGGCTTCATGAAAAGCAGGTGAAGGAGCTGGACAAGCAATCCCGCCCGCTGACAAGGACCTGAGACCTGGTTCCTATCTTGGTAAGGAGAACACAAGCAGGGTGCTCTAACAGCAGGAACCACCCAGGACTGTTGGGAACTGCCACCTTCAGTCTCCACCAACGTGAAGTCTCTACCTGGGCTCTAGAGCAAGAGAGTTCTCACAGCATTGTGCCCACTGAGACTACCAGGAGCAGATGGTCTCATGAGTAGGAGCCAGGGGTCAGACACGCTTAAGCCTACCCCTCCATTTCTCTCTCTCGAAGGGCTATTCCTAGCCCCTGGCCAATTGGCCCCACAAAGGTTTGACACAGAGGCCAGAGGCCACCAGGAGGAGCAACCCCCAGGAGGAAGGGCTCCACCCTATCCATAGATGCTGACAACCAGCAGGCTGTGGGCAATAACGTTTTAAGGAAATGTACTGTCCAGCTGTTTGGGGTCTGGCCTCAAGCACACATTTAAGTCCCCAACTACGTAGAGAGTGCTATGCTAGGGCAGGAACCCGAAAATTTTAAATAGCACCCAGGAGATCCAGCATGTGCCAACAGATATCTCTTGATAATTGAAAAGGGGAAAAAAAGATGAACAATGACCAGTCACAGAGCCAGCCTGGAGATGTGTTTACCAGTGCCCTTTACTGGATACTACGGTTGAACACTCCCTAAGGGAGCTCCGGTCTCCATGAGGAAAATCAGGTCCGATGAGCAGGTTAAGCCATCTGCTAAAAAGAACCGAAGGAACTCACAACAAGGAACTCTCATCCATGTGCTGGCCCATTGGCCAGCCTGCTGAGTTCCTGCTGTGTGCTGGCATGTCCCTAGTGTGTGAGTGGGCGCCTTTGTGCCCAGAGCAAGGTCAGGTTGATGGACAGGGGAGAGGGAAGCTCAGGCTGAGAGAGAAGCAAACATAAGAAAAAAGAAATCCAGGTGAGCTGTGGGGCTCCGACCAGCTCACAGAAAGGGTTTGTTTGCTCTGGGTAACTACACAAATAGACTTGACTTGAACTTGGATGGGGAAGAGGCATAGCTAAGGAGGAAGTGCTGAACCTAGCATGATCCCCTATGGGATAGGAGGGGAGCCAAGTACCCCAGCCTTTACGTAAATTGAGCTGCTCCCATCAACAAGGAAGAAGGCTGTGAGCCCCACATGCTCTCAATGTTTCTTCAATAGTCAGAACTCCCCTACTTCCTCAGCTTTCCCAAGTATCTCTATCTCTGGGAACTTTCTGTAACCCAAACTGTTACCAATAGAGCTTCCTAAATCCAAACCCAGTGGTGACATTGCCGCCACTTCAAGATCATTCATGTTGCCCTGTGGCGCATCTGGAACTTGGTCCTCAGCATTGGACCCCACTGTTCAGTGAACACAGTCCCACATCTACCCCAGAACCTTGACCCACTCAGGAACTCTGTGAACTGTGCTTCTGGAATCATCTTCAGCACCCTGAAAATATCCCTCTTGTGGCATGAACTGACTAAGTTGCGTGGGCAACAGTAGGGGGTGGAATACAGGGATGAACTGGTAATGGTCCATAAACACACCATCAAGTGCCAAGGCCCTGGCTCTGTGACTTGCAGTGGTAAGCATCAGAGGCATGGCGGCAAGCCTAGCCCACAGAATTCAACCCATTGGGAGGGCTCTGCACCCAGCATGGGTTCAGAGACCAGCATAGACCAGTGAGGCAGCCCTCAGAGAAGGGGCAAGGGAAAATAAGCAACTGTATTTTTTAACATACTTGCCTTACCCAAGCCAATGTCTGCACTGTATCACCCCATTATTCACAAAAAAGGGAAATGACTGTGCAGACTCTGACCAGTGGACACACAGACCCATATCCAGAGTCCTCCTTCTGACAGAGGACAAGGCAACAAGGCTGTCTCAGAAAGAATTCACAGCACACAAGCTTGCTTTCCTCTGAGTTTTAAACAATGTAGAGAGAACTGATTGAACAATCTGTCAACACAACTTGACATGAGTGAGAACAGGAATATGCAGCATAGAGTAGGGACAAAGGTGGGCTGAGGTCTAGGGGCTACAGTACTCTTAAGTATTTTCTCTATAAAGCAACACACATACACCCCACACAAAAACACCACATACCCCCAAGCACATTATATGAATAGACTGGGAATGAGATTAAGAGATAACATCAAGCCATGTAAATAGTATAATACCAATCAAGGAACTTTAAAATGCTTATATACATTCTTATCCATCCTAAAAAGGTCAAACCGTGAACCTGTTGACTGCTCCATCCTAGAAAGGCCAAACAGTGAACCTGTTGACTGCTAATCAAAAGGTTTAAGATTAGAGTCTGCCATCGGTGCCTTGGAAGAAAATTCTGGTAAGCTAAGTCTAAAAAGAAAAGCCTGTGAGTCAAAAAAGCCAATGTACAATCAACCAC